ATAATGATGATGACAAATTCCTCATGTAGTCAATAGGAACGGCCATCGGTGAGTCATCACCGATGCCGCCTTATCCAGTCACCTTGCTTCACTTCAATAACGCGGAATCCGTCGGTGTTTTTAGTAGTAGCACCGACGGCGCAGAATAATTCGTGTACTTTGTTACTCATTATATATATATTCAACACTTTACCATTTACACTACAATTGGCTGAGTGTCACAACACATAAGAGGAAAAAGAGATTGAAAGGGAAAACAACTGTTAAAGCACAAGAGTCTTACAGCAAGTACGCCATTGCATACGGTGCTTGGCCATATCCTCTAACGTTCGCAACTAGATGTGCTCGGGGTCCCTTGGTCCCCCTCCCGGGAGTCGGGAACGCCCAACAACAGCCAGCTTCAACGTTTTCGCCTTAGCGCATTGGATCCGAGTTTTACAATGGGCTTTTCATCGCTTCCGCCCCAAGCCTGTGCTCGCAAATAGGGCTCGTCGTGGTAGCCGTTGGATAGGCATGCGGAGCACATGCCCAAGCCAGCGAAGTCTCCGTAGTGAAATGATGCTATCAATCGGTCGGCGGAGTTCGTTAGATTTGAAGACTCGTCGACAGACTTCCTCATTAGTGATGTGATGCTGCCATCGAACACCAGCAATGCTTCGCAAGCAGCGGTGATCGAAGCCAGATAGCCGCTGAACATCGCTTTTGCGAATGCGTCAAGTCTCACAGCCGTACAGCAGGCTCGTTGGTACCGTAGCATTGTAGACTCGTCCCTTGAGAGCTAGGCTGAGGTCACAACGAAACCACAGGTGACAAAGGGTAGCGAAAGCGACTCTAGCCTTGGAGACATGCAGGGAGATCTTATCTGTCAAACCGCCAATACTAAAGCAATTCCCAAGGTCAATGAATTTGTCAACCACTTCCAGCGGATGCCCCAAAAGGATGAGAAGGACGTGCGTTTGGCCAGTCCTGTAACAGGACCTTGCATTTGCAAGGGGCAAAGGTCATCCCAAATTTGGCAGCGGACATCTCCAGTCTAAACAGCACCTGCTGGGCGGCTTGGGAAAACTCGTAAATCGCAGCAATGTTATCGACGTATTCTAAGTCCCAAAGGCGGTCACCAGGGAGCAGTTCAATACCGCAGAATTCAGAGTTTTCCTGGGTGGTACCCAGAATCTTGTCCATGGCGAAGTTGAACAAGAATAGAGAGACTGGGCAACCCTGTCTAACACCGCTAGTGATACTGAATGGGGGCGAAATGTCTCCGTATACTCGCACGCGGCCCGAAGTTTGATGGTAAATGACACGGAGAATTCTGTTGTACTTCTCAGATACACCCCTCCCAAAGAAACACTGTCAACAGAGTCAAACGCGACTCGACTGTCCAAGAATATGACTATAGTTGGTCCACTGAATGTATGGTGATGTTCAAGTATCTGGCGGATCGTAAAGGTGTGATCGACGCAACCGCTACCTGGGCGAAATCCAGCTTGTTGTTCACGCAGGTGCTGTTCCTGTACTCAACTGAGCCTCTGCAAGAGTACTACAGCGAGCAGTTTGGATGCGACACAAAGGAGACTGATGCCACAATGGGTTTTTTTTTCGTGGAACGAGGATCGTTACGGCCGTAGACCCCGAGTGTGGTGGGGGGAGTGACACCCAAGCGCACCGTCGGGCCGTAGCGGAGCGAATGTCTTGTCAGCCCTTTTTCTGGACTACTCAGTTTTGTTGCCGTCCGACCAGCCCGCCCCGATGGTCCACCGAGGATGCACTCCAGTCCACACCAAAATAATAAGTAGGAAATAACAACAAAGTCGGGAACCAACGGACTCCACGCGCGCCCTCACTGTTCGCGTGCGCCTACTGCAACTACTACTTTACTTTTCCATCCTCATTTGGTCCCCCCACCTGACATCCTATCGAAGGCATCCCTCATTCAGGCTTCTAGGGAGAGACCCCTGTAGTGAACATGAAACATTTACGCTGTCAGTATTTTGTGACTGGATCTTATTCCTGTTTGTATCTTCCGATCGTGCATTTGTTCTACTGCCGTCAGGTTTGGTTCACTTTCGAACTCTCTGTGATTCGCACGCTCCCTTTCTCTGTGCTATTGTTAAGTTACTTCTAGTTCATTTCAGTTGTTAAAATACACATTGGGCCCGGCTACGTACTCCCTTCCGAATAATTCTTATCCGTATTGGTTTCTACTGGTTCCCGTCGCAACCAGTACCTGAGTCCCGCTCCACAACTCCAATTCTTAGAGGATGGGAACTGACATACTTCTAAAAAGGATCTCAGCCGTCGCATTTGGACGACCCTCATCAGTTTGCATATCGAGGCTCAAGATCTACCTTAGATGCAGTAGCATATCTGGTACATGCTGTGCTCGCATCACTGGATAATATGAACAAATCCATCCGCATCTGCTCCCTGGATTTTAAAAACATTTTCGGTTGTGTGAACCGTGAACTGCTGTTACGCGATATATTAGGGTCTGGAGTTCAAGCTTCTGTTGTTCTTCTGCTGAAATATGATTTCATCAGGTGTACCTCGTATACCAGGTTATTGGGAAAAGTTCTTCACTCACCACGAACTCTGGTATTCTTCAGGGAGCCATTTTGTCCCCTTTCTTATTTTCCACCTATGTTATCTCAATCCCTGTCCCTGAATATGCAATCTTGCTGAGGTGTGCGAACGATGTAATCCTTCTTTTCACCATCCAAGCATACAGTCATCGGCCAAATTACAGATCCTCCTAGGGAACCTCACGGCTTGGTCCAAATTCCGTTGCTTACCGTTGAATACCACAAGTGCCAGGATGTCCTTTTTTTCTCTGTTCAAATAGAATCGTCACAGTAAGTCCTAACTCAGTACCCGCAACTTTCCATAGATGATAAAGCTTTGACCTTCCACGTCAGCAAAATACCTGTGAGTAACACTGGCCCGTGGACTTATGTGGTCCCTTCGCGTGAGCGAAGTATTTACTAAGGTTAGGAGACTCATTCTGTTACACGTTTCAGGTAATTTTCCGTAGCCCGTTTTTTATCCAGCGTTTTATCACTTTATGTGTTACCCTACTGGATCTATTGCTCTCTCGTGATGTTTTCTGATCCCCTGAGTAATGCCCTCAAAACAATTGCCAGATCAGTGAAACATCTATCCCGGTGTAGTGGCGTTTCAAGGCCAAGGCTTGTTACCATCATTTTATCCATCTCAACTCTTGTAACCAGCTTGCATCTAAAATACTTACTAGTGTTAGCCACCCTCTACACAGGTCGTGGTCCGGTCGCGTATCAGTCTATTAGACCATACAGAGCTACAAACTATACATGCCCGCACAAAAGGTCTATAATACATCAGTAGTTCCCAGTTTGTCACGTTTTTGACCGTTAAAAATTCGGTCATTCAAGAAATGGTTATTCTATTACTTCAGTTATACTAGCTCTGTAAATATTTTTTGACGATTCTGGTTATAAATCTATCCTCATGTACCACACTATTCCATTCTTTATTCCTGTCCGTGGCGTGTGTTTGTTATAGCTGTACATTCGCCCTTCATGAGTGCCCAAAACATATTCTTGACTTGACTTGATCCATCTCGAAATCTTCATTACCTACATATCCCAGTGGGGACAGTTGAGAAACACTTAGCTTAGCCGGAAAATGCTACATACCTGCTACTGCGAACCAAGGTTATTTCGACCTGGCTAACAGGAGTACATTAATTCTCGTCGTTGTCCTTCGCGCAGCACCTAGGCCAACAAAACAGTAGGCAACGGCACAATCGAAAACCTATTGCGTACGGTTGCTCGTGTCTTGTAAGACACTGTCACGCCCTGTAACCTAAATAATTACGACCTTGGAATGCTTTCATGTCAAGCATCGTACAAGCAGAGGTATTATTTGCGGAAACCCGTTATCTGGCTCAAGAATAGTGGAGAGTCGCATCTAAGTCATCCCATAACCGCAAGCTTGTTCTGAAAATTTGTATGCGACAGTTGAAAGAAGAGAGGTGGGAGCCCAAATTACCGGTGAATTCTGTAGTAAACCGAAATCTCGTAACCACTGTTCGAGGCACACAGTGACCCCGGTAGCGTGCGGGCTGGGATACTGTGAAGTCGCCAGCGTCTGCATAGATGTGAGCTAATGACTCGTGGACTTCAAGCCAGATGCCCGAATTACTTCACCTACGTGTACCATGTAGGTCCGGTGAAAAACGTTCGTCTGTTATTCATTGTGGATGTTCCGACTAGAATTCACTTAAATAAATCGCTTGGACATCGCAGTTGAAGACACCATTGCCATTAGACAAATCCATCTAACATGGATGATCACTATTCGCTATTCTTTTCGTGAAAAGTTGTGATTCTTTGTGCACCATACTCTTGACAGCTCGTATGTAGTTTATCCGAAGTCTCCATTTCACTTCTAGCCACGTTCCCGAGAATGTCGATTAACAAACTTATCGACTATCGCGCTGTTCTGCCTTTAAGTGAATAGTAAGAGGAATGCTCTTCAGATACTTCTTGTAGCTTTCAGGTTGGCGTTTTTTTCTCATTTTTATTCGATACAGACACTGGTAATTACCTTTCTTATCCATACTCGATCACCTCTTTATCTCCCACATATTCTACCTGGTTGTTTACTTATTATGGGCTAGTCCAAAGGGATTCTGGGCTCCATCAAAGTATTCACCCCATGTTATCCTCCCTATTTTGTGTTTAATGATGAGGTCATAGTGCCGGTTTCCTTGGCTCCTCCTTGTTCACGCTAAATCGGCTCCAGTGAGATTAATACGGGAACAGACGTCGACCTCCTGAACAGGGCTACCGAAAGCTACGTTACATAACTTAAGCTCTCAAGGTCCTGTTTTTTCCTTGCTAAAGGGACTGATGTTGGAAAACGAAGAAAATGATCTGGAAGCACTAGTATCATGAAACAAACGTCGAATATACAACTTCCATGGACAGACGATCTCGCAAACCTTGCTTTTTTCTCCGGGTTCACTGTGTGCGGCACATTTTGGTATGTGAAGTGGACCTTGGCTTCGTTAAATCGAATTGAAGTGCTCGGCGACGATTGCCTGTAACACAAAGGTTAAGAAAGTAGGCATGAGAATGGTAAGCACAATCCTCCACCTCACTGCGATAGCGGCGTTTTATATCTACCGGCTAGTAACATACTCCTCTGTTATCCCAATCTACTCATACGAGTCTTTAACTATTCACAGACTGTGTAATCTGAGCTATGTTTGTAGAGCGCAGGTTGCCCCGCGTTGTCTGCTCTCATTTGTTGTATTTTAAGGCCTGTCACTAGTGCAAATGGCACTTAATTTGAATATTCACATGTACCTCGCGATGCATTAAAACTGAAATCATGGTGATTAATTTGTGGATGTGCAAACTTTTTACTTTTTCAGTGTTGGATGATTGTTAAGAAAGCTCTGATCAATGTTTTATCATTCTGTCCTCAACACGATCGGTGTTGCATCCGTTCTTCGTCTACCCGCCATTGCATATGTTCAACAGCGTCCGAAGACAAGCTTGGCTTATGTTACAACTGATTGTTATGGCGATCTTTGAGATCATTTTTCTAAGATGTATGTTTTTGCTCAAAAGCCCACAGGGGTATCCAACCATTTTTGGTCGGTTTTTATGGCAAACTGCCGAGGGACCACTTTCAACCCGGGCCGAATTAATACAGTCAAGCTACGGTTACCTTTTTGGCTGTTCTTCTGAATAACCTTATTCCATTTACTCGCCACCATATAATCATCACAGTATAGTTGATGGAAGGAGCGGTGGATGATGCCGTGCAAGCCATCCGTGGTCTTTCTGTGGGCGCATGCGTCCTGTGGCTGTCCTATGGAAGCCGCATTGACAGGCACATCCGGAACCGGATGACGCCAAGCATAGTTGACGACCCCGTAACATTTCAATATCCCCGCATAAATAATCCACCACACTGATTCGATAAATAAGTGAAGCTTCAGTGTTTCGCATCGCCGCTGATTCTCATGACGAACGTGGTCGATGTGGTGAACTGAGTCCAACTAAACGGCGCGCGCTGTCGTCTGCCGATCACTTTGAGTTTCATTCTACTGGGTTTGTTCTCGGTGAGCACAGCGAACTGACCAGCGCTAAGTAGTGGACATTGTCATTACTCACGTGATGTTCTTATCCGAAACGAGCCGTTTCGTCGAAGAGATCGCACATCAGCTTAAAGGAGATAGTTACGACGTCGTACCTGTGTTTTGGCAATTATTCTGTGCATCTCTACATTTGGAAGTGACGGCTATCATACGCTTGTTTGGAGACACTACAACATGTATTGCTAACTAGTGTGGCCGGACGCCTCTCCGTGAGTGTTTGTTCCGGTTAAACGTCTACAGTCCACGCCTTTCCCAGCACAGTGGGACCGTCACCATTCAGCAATGGGGTTCGATATCCCTTCCGCTCAGATGCCGCCAAAGTAGTCACTGTGTTGAGTGTTCCTCTATGCGTAGGAAAATCAGTGCTTTGATAACGAGTGATATATGCTCAAAAATTCCCTTACATTAGGTATTAGGTCCTTCATACCTGGACAGCCTGGTTGTTGATTTCATTGCATTGCCCGCAACGTGGAACAACTTGTTTTTGACGTCCGGCACAAAACATTGCACATGTATCGTGTTTCCGATCGTTGTTAAGTAACACAATCTTTTGTAACCGAATCACGCATGTGGTAAGTCACACGCAGCATTGGAAATACAGAACGGAAGCACTTTCATTACGAAAAAACCGGAGCGATGTAACCATGATCATCTGTTCTGTTGGTGCTTAAAGGAGTGGGTGTGTTTACAATGCGCAGGGATTAGACTTCCCGTCGATGTCGGTCGCTTAATCCGATTTAGACGCGTTAACTTTTTATGTTGCAGTACAGAAATGAATTCAGCATGCCACCAGTACTTTGTGCTGACGCCTAGTAACCATGCAGCTGTACAAGCGGTCAAGTTATTTTGGATGCTACTAGGACACGAGTACATGGGAAGAAGCGGGCAATCAAAAAAGGAATATATAGATTGCAAGTCGGAAACCGAAACCACTACACTATGGCTAACGCAAGTGTCCGAGATAATACTTCATTTTACCACAGGTGTCATAAGCAACTTCTTCTGAGCACATCTGCATAGTTGTGCTGTGAGGCGTTAAGTAACACTGTTTTTACAGGTGTACAAGCTTTCAATTATGCCATAGTCCTTGATACTAGATACTTTGCGTATCTAGTGCCCAGCTAAAACGTTTGATCAGAAAGTGTGCTGAGTGTGGATTGTTCTCTGATATTATTCGTAGCACTTCGGACTAAGTGTTGTACAGCACCTGGCGTCTTCCCCTCACGACTGCAAGAAGAACACCAAAGACGTGCTGGGAAAGAATCATATGCATTGTATACTGTCTGTTTAAATGATTTTAAGGATGCTGAGGAGAAGCTACTAAAAGCTATTTCAGCCAACCATTTTTCTAAAAGCATGCAAGCAAAATGAAGCCAATGAAGAGTGATCAACAACGGAACCAATAAGAGACATGCAACCAAGTGGCATTGCCCTCTGACGGCAAAAACAGTAACCACCAGCATCCAATAAAATTAGCGGAATGATGTGTTTAAACAGATGTCACTAACAGCGATAGCTGAAGGAAAGCAATCGGCAACTAAGAATTGTAACAAAATATATGTCCACTTCTCAACAAACACCTCCATCTTCTTAAAGAACTGCTTTTACTTGGGGAAGTGTACCCTTTCCGTCGGAGATCCACTTGGAATGGCTGAAGAAATCGTATTATCTTATTTGGCCTCCCCTGTGTTTCAGTTTCCGGATTTCCTAAAGGTTGTGTGCATTGTCCGGTGAAATCCATCAGTTTGCCGTTGTTTAGTATTTCAGTAAAATCAAGTCCGTTGATGTATGATGTCACTGTGTTCTCCATGTAGCGCGGCCTTATTTGATTGGTATGGCGGATCCACACCTGCGTACCGACACGCATGTCATACGACACCCGACCACGGAGCCCTACGACGACATCAGATATCCTTTGTTCATGTTCTTCTGCCGAGCGACGACAAACACCTGGGCTCCGACTTCAAATCCCTACGCGACGCTCCATGCTGCTTATTGTACTGGGTTTCAATTACGGGATTCGTAGGGCGCGTCGGTTGGCGTTTTGGGATCAGTAAGTCCAAAGTTGTTCTTAGTCTTCGGCCCATAAGTGTTTCCGCAGGCGACCACCCTCTGGCGCATTTGGATTCGGAGCAACACGATAATTCACTAAGAATGTCTCTAGCCTTTCTTCTCGCGACCCTTCTCCCTTCGGTTGCAACAACGCACGTTTCATGGTATCCACAATTCGCTCGGCCTGTCCATTAGATTGCGGATGATATGGTGTAGTCCTCAGGTGTTCGATTCCATTGCATGCACAAAACTCAGCGAACTGATGAGACGTGAATTGCGGCCCGTTATCCGACCATAGTTACTGGTAGACCATGCTGGCTGAAAATACATCTCAACGCATGTAGCGTACTGGTTACTGACGTGTTCTGCATCATGGTTCCTTCCGGCCACTTGCTATAGGCAACGTCAACTATGAGTAACGAAACTCCTTCAACCGGTTCCGCAAAATCCACATGGATCCGTGACCATGGTGATTCTGGCTTGGGCCAAGAATGCAGTGTCGTGCGTATCGGCAGCTTGTACGCATATGCGCATCTTGAACAGGTACGACCAATGTTCTCTAGCTGGTTGTCAAGTTTCGGCTAAAAGTTGTAGCTCCGAGCCAATACCTTCATTCGGGCAATTCCGGAAGGCATTTCCGCAGGACTTCAGGTATGATGATGCGATCGGCGAAGAACAGACAGGAGTCAATTTCTGACAAAGAATCGCGTCGCGTGTAAAACTGGACAAGTTCTTCTTTTGGACATTTCTTTGGCCAGCCATGTCTAATGTAAGTCAGGATTTTTTGTAGCAGCTGATCATGTCTTTTGGCTTCCTGAACCATCTTGGCATTGACCGGTAAGATGTTCACGTCATCATGCACCATATAACTGACGTCTGTTTCAGCTGTGATTGCGGCGATGACTGCCTCTTCGGGTTCGCGTCTGAGGTATCGATTAGTCTTGATAAAGCGTCTGCTTGCCCGATAGAATCAGTTGACAAATATTTCATGGTGAAATCATAACCCAAGAGCAACGTTGCCCATCGCTGTAGTCGACTGGCTGTGTATGCCGGGATAACTTTCTTTGACCCAAAAATTGCGAGGAGCGGCTTATGGTTCGTTAGCAGCATGAAGCGTCGTCCGTACAGCATTTTGTGAAACTTCTGAACAGCAAAGACGATAGCCAATGCTTCCTTCTCAATCTGACTATAATTCTTTTCAGATGCAGTAAGAGCTCGTGCAGCGTGTGCGACAGCTTTTTCTGAACCGTCCGGAAAATGGTGGGAAATGACAGCCCAATTCCATAGCTAGAAACATCCGTGGCCACGACAATTTCATAGTGAGTAAGCAGTAGATCCGACTTCAGCAGCGACTTCAACTTTTCGAATGATTGCTGACACTGTTTGGACCACTTCCATTCAGCACCCTTCATCAGCAATTGATTAAGCGGATGACGTAAGCGATGCATATACGGCAAAAATTCACTCTAGTGGCTCACCATTCCCAGGAGTGTTCTCAATGTTGAGATATCCGTTGGTGCAACTAGCCGATCTATCGCCTTGATATTATCTGGATCTGGTCTTCGGCCGTGCTGATCAATCACAAAGCCCAGGAACTTGATGGACTTCATCAAAAATTTGCATTTATCCGCGCGCAAATGGAACCCGTAATCTTTTGATTCTCAGGACCACATCATCCAGTTGCTGAATCAGTTCATCTTGCGTTCGGCCCATTATGTCATCTAGATAGGCTGTGGTCCCAGGTACGTCGGTCAGCATGGTGTCCATAACTTGCTGAAAAATTGCAGGTGCTGTTTTGACTCCAAACGGCAGTCGGTTGTATTGATAGAGCCCACGATGCGTGTTTATCGCAAGAAGCTTCCTGCTTCCTGGCTGAACTTCAAGTTGTAAATAAGCATCCGCGAAATCAAGGGTAGCAAAGTAGTTTCTTCCATTCAGCTTCGCAAACACCCTTTCGGGGAGTAGAAATGGGTATTGCTGAGGCTCCAATGCGGCATCTAACCCAGTTGAGAAGTCGGCGCACAGGCGATTAGTCCGTTGGGCTTCTTGATCACAATGGGAGCAGCCCATGGTGAGAAACTGATTTTCTCCATCACTCCAGTTCGCTGTAGCCGTTGAAGCTCCTGTTCCACGAGTATTTGTGAAGCGTACGGGACTGGACCTTTTCGTCAAAATACTGTTTTTGCGTCTGGAAGGTGAGTGAGTTTCGCCTTCATATTTGTGCAGCTTCCAAGCTCGGATCGGAAGACGTAATCGTATTTCGCGTAAAGCTGTTCTGAGAGCCTTCCACTGGGATGAGTCGGTATGGCAGTATAGCTGGCCATGTCTTTTGTTTCGGAATACACGCGACTCAGTGGTTTTTCGAGCTGATTTAATTTCACAATCCAATCCATTCCGAGTAGACTAATGTCGGTACAAGTATCTCGGTAGATGATAACATGGAGTTGCAACTTTTTGGACTTCAGCTCACAGTCAATTTCTCCGTCTAGCGACAACGGTTCTCCTGATGCACATTGAGCAGTGAGACTTGTATGTTTGACTGGAGGTTCACTCAGCTTGGCCTGTGTCCCTCGGGAAATGATGGTGATACCGCACTCTGTACCTAGCTGCAACGATACAGGAACATCGTTAAGTTTCACAGTCAAGTATTTTCTGTTGCTTGCGAATCATGTGTCAGAGGCGGCAAGAATCGCTTTCGCCTTTGCACCCCGGTATCTGGTCCTCCTGAACTTGGAGTTTGCTCGAAGCTTTGGAGTAAATATGTGTCTAAAGTTTTGCGGTCCTCGACAGCGGGTTTCTTTATGTCCAATGTGTTTATATTTGTGACATTGATAATTCTTGTACTCACAGTCTTTCGCAAAGTGCCACCCGCCTCAGTTCCAACAGGCAGTGGGGGGGCTTCCGAGTCGGCCCATTTTGATCCACAATTTTGCTGCGAACGGCTGTGCGACAAATGTGGAGCTCGTTTTCGGAATCCGCATTTCCCACCATCTTTGTGTCATGTTTCAGGTTCAGCAGCCTCTGGCACTCAGCCGCGGTTCTTGCTCCAATTTTGTGAAGGATACGCGTTCGAACATCGGTGTCCGCATGTGATTGAAGACTGCATACAAAGACAAGGCCCTTGAATTGATCAGATGTCATGGTGCCCAGTTTGAAACGTTCACACTCTCGGTTCACGATGCCAGCATGTGTGACGAAATCATGTGCATCTCGTTTGACCAATTTTAAACAGTTGTACCGGATAATGAATAAGGACGCTTGCTCACCGAATCTCTGTGTCAACATTTCCACCGTCTCCTCGAAACTGAAGTTTCTTGGATAAAACAAAATGTGTATACCGTTCATGCTCAAGCACTCCGACTTTCCTCAACATCAAACGGACTTTCCAGGCATCATCTTGTTCCGCCAACTCCACACGGAAAATATCTTCGTACTTTTGGAACCACGATTCGAAGGTGACACCAGTCAATCCGTCAAAAACGAACTCCGAAATCGATGCCGCAATAGAGTCCACCGAAGGTCGTGATGCCGGTCCTGGAGATTCTGCCTGAATGTTCAGCTTTTGCGATAACTCGATTAGCTGTCGCTGTGATTTTTCGAACTACATTTGCTGCTGCTGGAGTAGTGCCTGCAATCTTAACACAGGGTCGAACTGGTCAGTTCAAAACGCCCTACCATTCAACATAGACAAATGTCGCGTTGTACAATTACGCCATAGACATAACTACACTTATTTACTTGGGACAAACGGATTGCATACCAGCTCCCAGGAACCTGACCTTGATGTGCTCGTACAGAGCGATCTCAACTGTTCAAAACAAGCTGAGGTAGCTGTGAAAAGAGGCAACCAACATGTCGGCATGCTGCGAAGGCCATTCGGGAGATCTGACCCGTCAATCCTCCCAATGATGCACAATTCCTACATGCGCCCGCATGTTGAATACTCTATCCAAACTTGGAAACCCTGGTTGAAGAGCGACCTAGAGGCGTTAGAGGCACCTCAACGAAGAGCAACAAAGAATGTAAAGGGCCTGCGCTATCACTCTTACCACCGAAGGCTGAAGTTGCTGGGAATTTTCAGCGGACGCTATCGAAGGCTGCGCGGTGATCTCATACTAGCGTATCAGATACTGAGTGACTCCAACCACGTATGCCGCCATTTTCCGAAACATAGCCACAACACGCAGCTCAGGGGTAACTGCTTAAATTGAAGGAACAACATAGCCGTCTAGAGTGTCGACGGAATTACTTTTCCCTTCGGGTTTGCCAACCCTGAAACGCACTCCCAGACTCAGTTGTATCCTTTCCTACCTTGGACGTTTTCAAAAAACGATTAGATGTTGCTCTTAGCTCCCAGCATTTTGTTACATAAACTCCTCTATTGTGGATTACGCCAAGCATGCTTTTCAACAGGATTTATGTAGCAAATGGACCCAAGTGAGCGATCATATTTTACTTTTCTCACGCCTTATATCAACGATCACTGCACCCCAGTGTCTTTCTGAACGTTTACGCTCGATAATTTTTTTTAATTTTACACTGATGTTAATTATCAAACTATTCATCTCGGCAGACGTTCGGCAGATGACCCAGATATATTTTGATTTCATCATATTCACCCCAACCATCCTATGGGACGTGTCAAGCACTTGCTTTTATCCCGTGATAAATCGTTGTTCATTGTTCAGTTGTTCAGAGGAAATGGCCATGGTTTGTCAACTACCCTTCGCCAGCAAATGTTGTGTGGCACTGACGCCTTCGCCTCACGACTGCAAGCAGAACACGAAAGACGTGCCGGGGAAGAATCATATGCATTGTATGCTGTCTGTTTGAATAGTTTTAAGAATGATCTGAAGAGAAGCTACTAAAATCCATTTCAGCCAACCATATTGCTAAAAGCATGCAAGAAAAGTGAAGCCAATGAAGAGTGATCAACAATGGAGCCAATAAGAGACACGGACGAACGAAAAGAGAGTGTGTTGGCAGCCGAGTGCCATTGTCCTCCGACGGCAAAAACAGTGACCACCAGCAGCCAATAAAATTAGCGGAATGATGTGTTTAAACAGATGTCACTAACAGCGATAGCTGAAGGAAAGCAATCGGTAACTAAGAATTGTAACAAAATATATGTCCACTTCTCAACCTCCTAACTGTAAGGCTGTGCACTTATAGTACTTCGTTGAGAACTATTATGATGTGCACATCATCCTCTTGAGTCACTCGACAGAAGAGAAGTTGTGGTATATGAATGCCGCGATCTGCGCGTTCTCTGCAACCGGCAAATCACGCACAAAACTTATACATAACCTCAATCTTGGGTATGGTCCCAATAATGAGAAGCTGATTACTTCAGACGATTTTCCGCCTTAGGTGATAAGCCTTTGCTGCTTTTGCTCTCTGCAGCTTGCTGACGGTTCCTCTACGAGTTTTCTGCCTTATTTCTGACATCATGGTTTTTCAACGTAGCCGTTGTCAACACTGATTGCAGCAGATTCGCCTGACGATACCGATTCCTCAGAAAAACATCCCCATGTAACTTACGAAAATCATTGCACTTTCATTTGCAACTTTCTCTCCACTACCACCATACATAAGAAACAATTCGCATACACCTATGAATAAAGAAGACCAGTTTCTTAATACATTCATGCATTGCCACTGCAGGTTGGTAAGCTCGCTGCTGCTTAATCGGCTGATATCCTGTTGCCTCCATGAAAATTTCTAGAGTGACAAATGCGCACAGGCCTTACTGATGCGTACAGTAATTTCTTCGATTACCATACCACCATCAGTCTTAATGAATGCATCGGTATTTTAGTTCCCAAACTGCGTCCCTCTATTCCCCGTACCTGTTATTTTCTGGTCTTTAACTTAATTGCCTAACACAGCAGCTATATCCACTGGATGGTGATGACACCTGTCAGCAGCGGATCCAGTTGCCGCGATGTTGCGCACTTGGCTGTCCAAACAATCTGTCTACGTCATCTTAGACCATTATTCGTACAAACTGGACTATTTGCATTAGTTGTCCACAGTTGTTACCGAGCCTATCTCGTGGCAGCGTCGGCACGCAAATAGGTTGACGTTTGCCTCGTGAAGGTGGCCAACTTGCGCCCATTACCACACAGCTCCACGTTTCGATGCACTGCATGCTTACGTTTAGTGACTGAACCCTCCGATAACATTGCATAACTCCGGCAACAAATAAAAATTATTGAGCCATCAAGGCTCTCTAATTAGCAGCATTTTTAGTTTACTGATAAGCTGTTTGTTATTACTACATTAGCAGTGTAACCGATCTTGTGTAATACTGTAGACTACTTACCTGCGATGTAGACATCGCGATGGAATGCTCCTGCTGCCAGCGCGATACTAATAAATGAAGAAATGCGAGAAAGTGACGCTGTTTGACCATATATGTGGTATCATTTGCAAATGATTCCGGCAACAGCGGAAAACCTCAAGTCCTGAGCACAAAATGTGTGTTTTGACTATTGTAGTGTTTACGCACTATAGACTATACAGTGGTAGTGAACATTAACATCACACTCTGAACGAACACAACCGCGAACCATCATGGCATATTTTGTCAGGTAGTTGGGGTGGCCCTAGCAATGTAGTATACAGTTAAGCTATCGCTCAAATCAATGACTCGGTAATTGGAACCCGAACAGCCGGTAGGCGAGCAATACCTCATGCCCTCATCTACATGGTTCCATCGCTCTTCTCCAGTGCATTTGCACATCATTTGCTCATCGCCAGTGCTGCACTCGACTGTTCTGAACCACTACATTTGTGACATTCGTAAACACTTCCATATGTTATTCTCCGGATGCGACAGTGTGACGCAGTCTTGTTGCAGATGCTTGGACACTTTAAACTCCTGCTAACATTTAGCAATACATTTGTGGGAAACAAGCCTGTGATATAGAGATTAGCTTTCATCCACTGGAGTACTCCACACGCTCGTCATAGCTGTTCTTCGAACAGGTAAACGCAATCTGTTGTGCACCTCGCTGTATAGCTGTAATACATTAGGTCTGACCTTGACTGGGATCAGCTTCTCAAAAAGAAATATATCTTTTATTTATTTATGACCCAGTCTAGTTACGTTTGTAAGCATCGCATGTCTTTTTATGATGTTGACTATGGTTATCACAGATCGATTTATCTACGAGCCTGTACATGATCAATAAAGCTAGTCTAAGAGTCAATTCGACTATGGGGCTCCTCGGTTTGTACACGGTGGCACCAGGAGCTTTTTCTGGTCTGTTTTTTCTGGTCTTTCAAAAATTATTAGTTTTTTCCGATACCAGTCTAAAGTTGTTTTTGCTGGCTTAGACGGAATACCCCGCTACTGCTATCAAGGGGTATGCAACCCAACGATGTCCGTTTAACAAACTATCTGCTCTCGGCCATTTTCACAAATATTTTATGGATTGGTTTGTACAAACTTTGGTTCAATGCAGTTCACGTCTTGTATACTGCCTAGGAGAGCAACTTGCAACGTGTCTCCCATGAAAATGATCTTGGAGTGTTCATGCAGGCCGATCTCGGTTGCTCAAAACAGGTCGAAAAAGCATCAAGCAGAACCAATCAGCACTTGAGTCTCTGGCGGAGAGTGTTTGGCCAGTTTGATCTCGCCATCTTTTCACAAATACTCAACGCTTACCTGAGGCCACATGTTACATACGTCATCCAGGTCTGGCACCCCTGGCAAAAGCACAATCTTGCTTCTCTTGAGACTCCACAGAAAAGAGCAACAAAAAATGTTAAGGGCCTAACCCATCTCCTTTACCAGCACAGATTACAGACCCTAGCAGTATTTTGTGGTCAGTACTGTCGTAACACTTCACTCCGGAGCCACCACTTGAAGTTAGCTGCACAGTACAGCCGGCCGGAATGGCGTCGGCACATTTTCTCACTTCGTGTGTCCCAGTGGTGGGACGCTCTTCCAATTGCACACATCTCCGCTTCTACATTGACTGAATTCAAACATAACTTGATAAAAAATTACACCGCATGCACTACAACTTAGCCAATGTTTCTGAGACACATCATGACAAGACCAAACTACATGCACAAGTACAACTTAGGTGAATCCACCGATATGCGTTACTTTTGATTTTGTTGATACATTCACATTGTCAAGCTTTGCTTTTTTACCCTGATAAATGCGTAAATCCATGGATCAGTTTATTTTGTAGCTACACAATTGAAGTTTAGTTCCAAGTGTCTCACAACAGCGCCTTCCCGATTACCACAGTCAAATAGATAAGAATACTTTTACAGGTGAGTAGGTTAACTCACTTATCGCATCCTGGCTTCAGGTGTACCGCGTAGAATCCATAAACTGGTCGGTGATCCGATGAGCGGATTGTCCGAATGGAGTCGTAATGAAGGCATGTGACTTCACCCTTCCTATGGGCCAGGAAGAGTATCCGATCCTGCGGAGAAATGAGGTCAGTGGATATGATCTGCAGTTAGGATTGGTCTGATGTAATGTCCATTTTTAGCGTCATTTACGGACACCGTGATAATGATGATTAGAGACTGTGGCTTCGATCCCCCAGCAGAAGTCAATATGCACTAAGGTTGGCTCCGTTCACATAACCGCGTCAGGCAGGCTGAAAAAACCTGCAATTATTGCCGCCAATTTCCACATAAAGCACTAACAGCTAATTGAATGCTCTGAGGTACACACGTCATCTAAGCGTATCATACGCTATGCATGCCGACGTCACTACAAAATTATTTTTAGCTACATGTGTATGCCATTTGTGCTGAGAAAGGACTGTGGATAACAGATATACACATCAAAATAAGCTAACCAACTGACCTCCACTGAGCATGTGCTGTCTAATCCATTAGATGTATCCGATCTTAAGCATTTAATCCATGACTAATGCCGCCTTTACTTTCGAACTTTGGTCCCTTAGCACACAACTGAATAGTAACCGAGTATACCACTAGTTTCCGCTTCCGATCGAGATCCGTTGACTTCAAGGTTGCAGTTCGCCAGGCATCACAAGGCAGCAAACTGACCTAGCACCATCTTCTAGCTTAGAAAGTCCGAAAAGTAATTCTGGTTATCTTCTACTCAGTATCGAATACCGCAGCAGTGTCCGTACGTAACTTGGCGATTAGGGCATAAATCGATGTGTCTCAACCAATCACATAAGCGTACAAACCGGTTGCTCACGCAACTTGAGTCGATATAGAAAATCCACCGCCGAGATGATCACTGAGGTAGTTCGCTTTGTCCAATTCCAAGGCGCTAGGAAGCGTGGAATATGCTGGCACTAGAGCTTATCAGAGATGAATGTGGCTGAGTCTCTGAGATTACTTGGACAAACGTTGGTGTAATGACTATTAGTGTCTAACACGGGTGCTTGTCTGTCATTAAGTGTTCCATTAGTGAAGTAAACCCGATGGATGTTTAGCATCGAACGCGATAGGTGAAGAAAGCGACATAACCTCTTCGACGCTCCATGGCATCTTAGCATGATATTGGAAACGAATCTGTAGGTTCTGGTTCACCGTTAATCTTTACCAGTATCCGCTGCTGACTAGCTTCCGGTCGTTGAAAAGAGATGTTTTTGTAGTGGCACATGGAAAGAGTATGGGGACGCCACTTTTGTGAAATCTCAGTCGCGACTCCCGAGATAACCTAGTTAAGCTACTTTATTCGCCAACATCGCCAGCGATCAAAAGTATATCTTCCCGTGAATCCGAGGCCCAAACTCGGTGAGTGTGTCAATGTTGTTAGAAGGCATCTTTTAGATCACGAAGAGACGCCAGGCCAAATAGAACAGTTTGATGCACGGCCTTTTGGATGACGCAAGACCCTCTCAGTAGGGTAGGGGAATCATTTGCATTAGAGATTTAGGCAAATAACAGTTACGGAAAAAGACTTGTTCACCCAGAAATAGGCCCATACATGTGTTAATATCTAGTACCACCTAGCCAAGCACATACCCACTGTGATTCGGTTAGTTGGGGTATAAATAAATACGAAGACGTACATCACGGTGTTCACCTTTGGTTTGGAGCATTGAGGTTGTTCGTGTTAAGGACCAGTCTTTTTCCACAGTTCTCGACTCACTTATGAGCTATGCTTTTCGTCTCGCATTATCGTGCGCACGTCAGGCTACTCTGTTTGGACGATGGTATTTTGTGTCGTCAATCCAGTGGCTAGGAGGTGTAATAGAACATGGTCGATATGCGTAATCTGTTCGAATATCGACTCATTAGAGTCACTGGACATCCGTGTTCACTTCATTCACATCTACCTGAAGGAGCATCAGAAGTGTTTTTCAGAAGAAGCCCTTTTATATGTTAGACAGAGCGATCAGTCAAGTGCCATTACACAGGCATGGTACTGACATGGTCATTTGGATTTCAATCTAAAGCTGTCGAGGTTCTCGGGATAAATTTTAAGTCAAAATGAACCACACATGTTCGGCAATGTGTGCTACCGCGATTCTCTCCAACAATGGACTATTGGATCACGAGTTTTGCTGCGAAATTCTCCTTTGTATTATTGACTGACAATGAATGACGCGGCGGAAACAGCCTTTTAGAAGGCCGATCCGCATGGTGGACAACTTTTGAACTTAAACAAATTTAATTTACCGAATATTAGAACTCATTTGCGCTGTCAACAAGTTCTGACTGGATGACATTCGTCGGTAACTCACTGTGTATGAAGGGACGCGTTGTTTGTCCGAAGTGTCATATGCGTCAGAGTTTGGATCCAGCTTGAACGTCGGGGGAAATTTGATCTTTCCTTCGTCGAATCCCTGAAAGACGCGACCTGTGAGCAATAGGGACGAAAAGTATAGAACAGCATAAATGTAAACATGCCGTGTTCTCGCATCCAGCCAAGGTGTAAAGATGCAAGCAGTTCTTTTGCAGCAACCACAATGTGTAGCATCAGCTGCAGTCCTCTGCAATTGAGGACACCGATGATTCGAGTTTTCTTAGCGAGAGTGTAATGTCCATTGAGAACTTCGATAATTTAGCCAAACTGGTTTACCTATTGAGGACATAATATTACTTTTTCCCAAACGCTTCACTTATATCCCAACAGAAATTTATACAAATCTTTATGCTAACACTTGCATTATGAAATACTTTACATTTTCAGTTTGCATTATTGTCATGTCCTTGACTCTTCAAGGTCAAACATTTCATCCTTGACAGTCTACCGATTAGCGAACTGCTACGCTGTACCGTTTTGCCACGCCGGCGCACGACTTGCAGTTTCTGCCATTTCCTATTACGATTGCAAACCTATACAACTATGTAAAGACTATAACGAAGCCTAGACGGAATAATCGCACGAGATGGGGCAAGTAAACTGTAGGCTAGTAAAACTATACTGTACACATGGTAACAGGAATTTACGTTTTATTTCTCTGCCCAGATCGTGTGCATAGTATAGGTTTAGTAGCCTACAGTTTCCTCTCCCCATCTCGTGCGATTACTTACTCTAGACCTCGCATGGTTTTTACTGAGGTTGGTGAAAGTTGTCATACGAGGTGAGCTGATGACATCCCTCGATTCCATGCAGGGTTTCGCCAGCGCCTGCAAACTTCTGAAATTTCAAGTTCCATTGATACACAATAAGCTAACGGAACCTGGCGTACACTTTAAGTATCAGATGAGGATATTGAGTCAGTAGGCTGATCTAATGCGCGGCAATGACTAAATCCAGAACTGCGTACAAGGATGACACGATCATCTTGTTCAGAGAATCCATCAGCCATTCATTTATCTGAGTCTTTGGTGAGCGAATCTCAATCGTCTGACCAATTGTTAGTTTCACATGCTGTCCGAAACGTTACCAGACCAGCCCAGGCGAACAACACACGCAACTTGGTGTACGTTGACCTTATCCCATGGTCGCCCCTATTGAGAATGGGGTTGCAATGGGGAAATTCTGTGCAGCGCAGGAAAGTAACATTGACAGAACGCACTTGCCAGTGTGAACATATACAGCTATGTTCAGAACGCAAACATAAAGCGCCAAGTAAGGTAAGGGCGACTTGAGCTACTATGAAGGGGGCTGAATTACTTTGCATTGCAATATGCGCAACGCTACAGTTCAGTCGCTATTGTTCCGTGGGTGAGAAAACTTGCAAATGCAAAGTTTTCGCCATCACGGCTTAATCAGCGCTGCCTAATGAACAATGCTGTTATGCACTGGTTGATGCCAGAAGACGTACTAGCTGCCGCAGTTGCACAGTATCGCGTATTTGCCGGCGATATTTTAATCTGCATAACGCGGATTAAAATAGTAAAAATGATGGAAACCGATAACTGGAGTAGGAGATTTCGACATGTGTATTGCTGAATACGGTTGTTTGTCATAGATAACAGGGACTCAGACTACAGGTGTTCTTGATGCTTTGCTCCCCTACCCGGTGTCAAGAGCGTGATGGAACACATAACGGCAAACATTGCGCCTTGAAAATTCTAGGTTAAGGGGTGTATTGTGCACATTGCTACCACTTCCAGCGAAAGCCATGGTGAGCAAGAAGCACAAGGGAGCCCAATTGCGGAACAGACATATGGAGCACGTGCCCAAGTCGGTTACGCTTGTGCGGTGAAAGTACACAGCTCAGTGGACCCCGGAATACTTCGGCAAATATCCCACCGTTACTATGGTGTTATCAGGATACATTACTCCGAAAGAGGTGGTGACTAAAACCTGGTGAAACCGCCGTTTGCATGAACGAATATGCCATCACAGCAGAAAGGCAGTGTTGCCGTCTCACAGCATTGTACCCCTGGATTTTCAGAATCACTCTGTCCGACCGACGTCACAACTAACTGAGTTCGGCTCAGGTCACTTGAACATTATAAATGGTAATAGAAACATGCGCTGTTAAACGATTGGTACTGAAGCGGATCTTGAACTAAACGCGCTTGTTGGATACCTCCAGTGCACATCTTAGAAGTGTGAAGAGACTGGCAATTTTTTGTACAAGGGCTTGTACGTCAATGGGAGAAGTTTAATCAAACAAAGCATTCGTGTAGTCTGCGAGAATCACATAATGGAACAAAGTCATCTGCGCATTCCGGATATCTATACGTGTCACGCGAAAGCAAACACACTCCACTAAGTCCAGTGAATCTGGACATCATTCCAGGATATTATGGGTTGCAAAATCAAGTATTAAAAGCGAAGCCGAGCAGCTCTTATTGGTGATTCTGAGGGGGTGTTAACTTCAACGTTTGATCGTCTCCACAGATACCAAGCATCGACCTGGAAACCATCAATAACATTTATTTTCCCACGAAACCTCGGTCACGCAACTACAACACGTTACTCTTGCTGGTTTCAACATCTACACACTCACATGGTGGAAAGTTAACATCCGTTTGTGCCGCCTGTTCTAAGGCCAAATTGATCAGTGACGAAACCGACCGTATGTCACGTTTGTTCTTAATTTCCATACAGTTGTGGTAGTCGGAAGGCTACAGACGGTGTGTTTCCGAAATTTCAACCAGTGGATTTATAATGTTATCAGGTGGAGATCTCGGCTCTTTTACGCATGTCTCGAGGCGACCATTATGGTGAGTGCACCAAGACACATTTCAGCTTATCATGAATGTTTATGTCCCCAATAAATTCCCTCCCATGGGACTTGTTAAGGATTGCAATTTCGCCAGTAATACGCCATTGTTCCTTAGTGAATCGCTTGTAAAACCTTTCCAGATGGGATCCCCAGGCACATCTGTGGTTATGGCTTCACCCAACAAGAAGCACTCGAGAACTCTGTGAAAGTATAACATATATATCCTTTGTTCTTCAACTCTTTCCTCGTTTTCCTACCGACGAATGTGTCTACGCTTTCTCCTCCACTGTTGCACACATTTGTGTTTTTACTGCAGGCATAGGGACAAAGGTACCGATTACCGAGCTGGCTTAATCTAGGCACTGGCGCCCTAGCTGATTCACGGAACTGAACTTAATCCTAACAACATGACAGATGGGAGCAAAATCACAAATGCTTCTATAGGCAATAATTTATAACGAGCAAAAAGTTGATTACTTGACCAGTCCCGTAGGATTATAATGAGGCGGAAGGCAGTAATAGCCCGGAGGACAGAAGGACCACGAAAACGGGGGCGGACGGAAACAGGAACAGGCGCAGTGAGGGAACGCACACGAGCCACGCTGGCCTAACGAAACGAGACGATAACGGGTCACGAGCGGCGTCCGGTAGTGAGTCTGAACCAGTCAGAATGGAGAGGGTATTCGTCAAGAAGACAATAAATCAGGCAAAACGCCATTATTGCAGCCTCCCGGACGGACCCCAAACAGAGTGATGTATTCATGGTCAAGCAAACCACCAGCTATCGAACGGCTCCGGGCCGATTAGAGTGGGACGCGAAGAAGCGGAGATCCGGGGGTGAAATGGGCAAGGAATACTCCACCACGAAGTTCCCGAAGTGCATGGACGTGTCGTGAGCGGAAGCCAGGGGAGATGGTGCGTCGTGGGAAGGGAACGGGACTCATTAATATACGGCTGCATGAGTGGTGATATAGCTTGTGATCGTGTTAATAAAGATTGAGTTTCATTGTCGCGTCGTTCTCGCTACGTGGCGGTTATAAGATGATGGTTTAAAGTGAGAAGAAAAGGAAAAATTCTGGTTTGAGGTGACTCGCCGTTATTCACGTGAACACATGCTGGTCTGCTCACCACTACGTAACGGTGATAGCTGGTGCGCACATTGTTTGCGTGAATTAGTCTTTCGATGAAAACGGACGATGTTACCTAGTGTAAATGGGATATAGTATAGTCCAGTTGTAAAAAAGCGTTAGTGAGGGAGCGAAAATAAAATGAGAAGGAAGAGCGTTCCAAGTTCTGGATACCAAAAGGGAGAAAACGTTTTGTTGGCAATCAAGTCGACTGTGGTTTGTGGTCAATTTGAGCTGGTGGACTCTCAGGTTGGTATTGTGACTGACTTGCAACAGATCGCGACAGGCGTGATTGGGGTTAGTCAGTATTTGGTACACCATAATAACGTCTCTACGCAGGCGCCGGTATTCGCCGCTGTACAAGCCTAGGGCTTGCAGTATGCGTTAGTAAGAGAGGTGAAACAATCCTCTAGCGAATTTTGTCGCCATACGTTGTGGATCTTCGAACGCAGCAGCATTGGGTTTGCGCTAAGGTCGCCATGCTTAGATCCCGAAATCCACATGGGTACTCATATAGACGTTCGACATTTGTGGGTAGATTGTTAGCTCGAAATTCCAGGACTCTCTTCGTAGGAGGCCTAGGTGCTGACTGACACTTCTCGATGCCTTTTCGATCCATTCCGTGTAACTAAGGTTTTCTTGTGCAAATATCACGCAGTCGCTTTCCTGCGTAGCATGTTACCTCAGCTGCTGTCTCAGTCGAGATTCATGAATACACTGATGGCGTACTCACAGAACATTGCGTTTCACCAAGTTAAATATTTGCTGACTTTCGGGTGACCATGTGCAGACCCAGTCGAGGTCTTTTTGTAAAGCCGCGTCGTCGTCCACTGTACTTACTTCACGCCAGGTCTTGACGTCGTTTGCAAATAGCAAGAAGTCTGACTGGAGCACCCTAGTAAGATCATTGCTGAATACTAGGTACAATCGTGGTCTCTTTACCGATCCTTAGGCACACGGCGCTAGACTTCAAATGGGGTCGGAAATGGAGCTGCTGGCTCTCATTCAAAAGACGTTGTATGAGGAAATTGCTTACGCAACTCAACACAGAGTCGCTGTTTCCATGATTTTGAAGCTTGTGAAGGACAATGCCGTGGTCCAGG